ATCTGTTCACTTGTTACTTTCAAATGGAATAACAGGCTACAAAACCACCACAGTGTTTGAAAGTTCATTTATCAAGCAAAGCCACCTGCTTAGCGGTAGCAAAAGTAAAATCTTCAAGAGTAAGCGTCAAACGTAATATCATGATTCACAAAAGCAGGTGACGGCATTTCGTCTATGCATGGTCTCGTTGCTGCTGTCATATGTCGATTTTTGACATGTCAATGAGATATACACCAAGATTTCAACAGCGATTTTTAGCTGACATGTAGTGTAACTGGAGACCATTCCTACGCAAAGCTTATTGGATATTCCGTTTTGACAACGCGTTCAGAGTTTAACTTTAAAAGTGCTGGAGCGGCTGGGCAGTGAACGTAACACTGAGGCGTAGCAGCTTTACAGCAAATCCAAGCAGGTTGTCCCGTGAGAGCTAATAATAATAATTTTTATTCCATTGATAATATCGAACTCTGCGTCCTGTCTCCTCTACAGCATGTGCGAGGATGCCTTTTCACTGCGCTGGAAGTACGATGATACGCAAATATGCAAAGCTGAAATGTGCACAAACGTAAATTACGCTTTCCACCGTAACCAAGTCATAGGCGTGGCCTTAATGAAGCACGGAAATTAGCGTGAATTCTCTAAGTCCTCAGTTTTCGCATTGGGCAACATCTATGATTATCTGGGAAGAGACGCGCGGTAAACTATGAACACTAAGAATATATATCCAATTGGATCAGCGTTTTTAAAAATAAAACTCCCCTATTATTTTGGCAAAAAGTACTAAGCTGAAAACGAGACAGCGAAGCTTCACTTATGCTAATATATGAACTGTTTTCCCCTTTAAGCAAATGGATCCCTCATTTTAATCAGCTAAAGTTTATATGCTGATGATAGATCTGAAAACTTCGTTGGTTTTAAGATGTACTTCATCACTAGGAAAAGCTGTATATGCGTACAGCAAGCATAGCACGTGTGGTAAAATCGGAACACAGGGCATTTTTTCTTTACACGTTATTCTACATTAATAATAAGAATAAAGTCGCACGTAAATGATTAACCTTTAGAAACTTGGGCGCGAAACAGGATAAATTGCACTGTTGTTGCCTGCATACAGTTTAACTTACAGTATACTTTAGCTTCCTAGAGGAATTTGCATAACTTCGTTCGAGATAACTCTGTTTTTGCTTCTGTTCGTGTCTATAAAAATGTTTCCTTCAGGACGGTGAACTGATGCTCATTCTTTTCAGTGAGTGTAGAATAGCGCAGCGATGGCCGAGTGGTTAAGGCGATTGACTAGAAATCAATTGGGCTCTGCCCGCACAGGTTCGAATCCTGTTCGCTGCGATATTTTGTATGATGTTTTAGCATGCAGAATTAATTAGGGTTTTAAAATATTCGTAAAGAAACTGCGTCCGACTTGTTGTGCAAATCTTTGGTACTGTATTACCGCCTCTGCTTGTAAACGCACTATGACCTACATATGTACAGGAATGTAGCTCTACAAGTGTCCATTTCAAAAGACAAAGTCAGTTTCTTTGAAGCTGTTCAGTTTAAGCAACAAAGGACAAAAAGTTCGTTGTCAAAGTATTTTACTTTATAAGACTGCCTATATATAGCATCATCGACAGCTCTTGAGTTCTAAGCTTAGTTGTTACGTTACTTCAGCTTTTTGTCATCTCAGTTACGAAAGAATGTGCCAGCTTTTCTCTGCGTCATATTGGATTAGAAGGCTCATCATTGGCGCATTTCAAAACATCCTTTACGCGTCTATTTCTGTCTTTATTCGAGACGACAAAGACACTGCCCTTTTCATGCCTACGCGCACTTCCATTGATGGTATCTATAGATGAAATCGTACAGATTTTCACCGAAATGTAACAACAAGCAGTCACATTTATGCTTAGCAATTATTCCTTTCACCTGTTTTCACACGAGTGGAATTGTTGAGAAAATATGAAAGTACAAAAAAATGGCTACCATCAGCGGTTAAGTTTTGCTATTCCAATTTCCGCAGATAAGTTTCTTCGGCTGTTACCCAGTTTCACCTGAGTACTGTAGAGAAAGCAAGCTTTCAGTTTAAAATCTAGAGTAGTTGGAACATGAGAATCGTTATAGCCGGTACTGTACTGTTTTACTTTTTCACTATTTAGCGTACTGCAATCTGCTACGGCGCTGTGGAACCCTTGGCTGCATAACTTGGGCTTTTCTGGTGCTTCTTATTGCGAATACAGCGACAAGTTTTTAAATATAAACGTCATAACCTATGCCAGTTTGCACTGCCATTTTACTTCTTTTGAAAGTAGCGTTGACCTGTGGGATTCCAAACATTTACTTGGAGGAACGCTTTGACGATGGTGTTGGGTGGAAAAATCGGTGGGTGCAATCGAAGCACAGATCCGATTATGGCCTATTCACCATCAGCCACGGAAAATTCTATGGCGACGCACAAGTTGGCATTGGACTGCAAACAACACAAAATTCTAGATTTTACGCAGCGTCAAGAAAGTTCGACATAATGCCTGAAAATTTGTCAGGACCATTGGTAATTCAGTTTAGCGTTAAGCATGAGCAGAAAATCGATTGTGGAGGCGCATATATTAAAATTCTTTCTGGAAAAATAAATCAGACTGATTTTCACAATAGTTCCTCATACTACATCATGTTTGGACCAGACATTTGTGCAGACAGCAAAGTCTTGCAGATGATACTCAGGTACAATGACACGTATTTCACGTGGGCTCATCGCGTAAATTGTAAAAGCGACCGCTTGACGCACGTGTATACTCTGGTTATTCATCAGAACTTGACTTACAAAGTACTGATTGACCTGAAAATAGTTAAGAGTGGACTGCTGCTTGAGGACTTGCAGTTTTTGGTTCCAGCAAGTAAATCAGAGGGGAAAACAGATGTTGTGGACGAAGAAGAGGGAACATCGACCGAGGATCCTGCCATACGGAGCACACAGGTTGAAGGATATACCGATGAATTCTTAAGCTACGACTCCACGAACAAAAAGGCGAGGCCGGATAAGTTTAATCGTCAGGTAAAGGATATACTTAACAGAGAAAAAAAGGTAAGACCATCAACTTGCTCAAAAGATTCGGAAACACAAATTGTAAAACCGACACATATGGATCTCAACTTCTACAAAGGTATTGGTGCAGTCGGTATCGATGTATGGCAAGTGAAAGCAGGTACAATATTTGACAATATTCTGATTACCGATGACGAAAGCTACGCCATTCGCTTTGCAAAGAAAACGTGGCAGCTTTATAAATATCCCGAAAAGCATATGAAGGAAAAACTTCATGAAGAAGAGGAAATTGAGCAAGATCGTGAACAAGCTAGGAAATGGAAACTTAATTTCGCAAGCGATGGGAAAGAAAGGGAAAAAGAGAAAGGCGAATACGCAACAAGTCGTAACAAGGAACTGTAGCCTCCCTTGTACACTTGTTTGTAAACAGATATTGTCTGAATACTGTCGTTTTGTTAATTGCTTGTTTGTCTTGATTTAAAATTCTGAACGCAGAACGGTGTCTTGCGCATGAAAACAATTAGAAAACTAAAACTAGTTGAAATATCGCAGAACGTTTTCGAAAGCTATTGCGTAAGAAAATCTGAAGGAATTCACGCTTGCAATGCTTGAAATGCTTACTTTAAGCAAAACTGGAAATTTTAATAAATTAGAAAATATTTTTAGCATTCGTCTGTTCGAGTAAATTGCACGTGGGGTTCAAATATAACATAAACAAAAAAGCGACGCATTGCTCCGCAGGTTTATCAATCGAACCTGCTCATTATACTTTTGTAGTCTTTTATTGCGGAGGAGCGTTGGCTGGCGTAGAAAGAAGCATCGGTTGAATTGAGAAGCTAACTAGCATTTTGGTTTATTTTCGAATCTCCTGCATGTTATGCTGCTTCAGTTTTGGCACATTGCCATTTTGTAGTAGTGCTTAAGTTTCAGAATGTACTTAACTGGTCACGTACGGTCCTCTAGTTCAAAGTTTCACATTTTCATTGTTTCATTAATTATTTGCGTCGGATAAATGAGTGAATATCGAAAGGCTAGCGCGTCTGTCTCCAGCGGCGATGAAACGTCGAGTATTACGGAAGAAGATACGCGTGATTCCAACGTTGACAAAGGTGCTCCGTTGCTCGCCAAACGAGAAGCTATGCTGGACCAAATGTGCTCTTCTCCACCTGCAAAGAAGAAAATGCGCTTTGATGCTTGGAGTAAGGTTTTGATTGAAAATGAACTGGTTGACCGTATGGGGCAAACGAGCGGCATCCTTGGCTTGAGCGAGAACATCGTTGTTCGAGACGTTGAGTCATATTCAGTCGAAGGCCAGCAGAAGAGTAAGTATTAATCACAACTGTTTCAAATGGCTAAGGAATTTTGTTTTCTGGTTTGTTTATCGCGTTGTGTTGAACAAGAGCCTTGAAAATAGAATTCCTTGCATTGCTCTCTCTCTCTCTCTCTCAAAAGATGCACATTTCTCTGCCAGACTTCTTATTCATTCTGATACGGTATTGTAGGTAACCTATTGCCCAGGTGTTTCTTGTGTTTTGCTCAAATGCTACGTAATTGCTACTGTTCAGTAATTTGACTTTTCCGGTTAGGTTTCACGATTTCTTGCCGGTGTTATGAGCACCATATTGCCAAACATCACTTTATTTCTGTGTCGTAGATTTCTGCCCAACGGGTTAAATGAAAAAGCGTAATGGGGAACTTTCAAACAAGAATTCTGTTTAAACGCTTCCCAGTTGGCGAAGCGTTTCTACCGTTACTGTTTGCCATTTTAAATGTATTTGTTGTGTAAGAGAAATATTAGAGGCGTCGTCATCGTGCCCCCACGGGTACTTTCATTTCCTTGACACTTTATTTCTCTTCATTGCTACAGTAAGACGAGCGGGAGCAAAACGGAGACGTTGGGCAGCCAGGAAGTCGCATCGTTGCAATCGATCTGACTCTCAGAAGACCAGAGAACAGAATTTGAATAAGAGGAACCGGAATGTTGGAATCATGCCAAAATTTGAACAGAGAGCCGATGTACGCTTACAGTTAATTGGTTGTTATACCGTTGTAGAGCGAAGTGCGTTTAGGAGCCATTGGAATCATTTGTTAAACGCTTAGCCGACTGCCTCAAGGAAAGGGAGATTAAACTGCTAAGCGAAGTAGTCGAAATGGTTGGTCGCGAAGGAGCTGTACGTTTGTACGAGGCAACGGCGAAACTTGAAAACGAAGGTGGAATGATGACAAAGGACGGTTCGAGGAGAAGGCTTCCTGGCGGCATTTTTATGCAATTGGCAAAGGAGGATAGCGAAGCTGGTGACAAAGTGAAGCAACTTTTCAAGAAGGATCGTTTGGAAAAGAGAAGTCTGAGACGCAAACTGGTTGCTGCCATTTCCAGCGAACGTGCGAAACGAGCTTCAATGAGTCTTGGTCTCCCAACAGATTCGTCATGTGCTCAAAGTGCTAATTAAATATTTCTAACGATCATTGAAATTCAGTTGTGCGTCACTGTTCAGTTTTAAAATCATTTATTGTCTATTAATCATGTCTTAATTCATTTCCAGGAAGAGCTCTGCTTACCATCGATTAGGAAAGGATAATTTTGACAGGGCAACTCGTATGGTTTTCCACCAGGTGCAGTTTACCTGAGAATCAATCGTAATCTGAGTAGTCAGTAGTTGATTTGCAGGGTTTAGCCGTTACGGTAGATAAGCAGGTAGAGTCCGATTTAGCTGTGCGTATGGTCGTTTGGTTACTCACACGTGCGAGCACCGCAACGTTGCTTCCATTTTTGTCAGTTACATTTTTTGCATTTGTTGCTAGCGGTGACCCAAATGTCTACTTGTACGAACGCTTTGACGACGGAGATGCTTGGAAGAATCGATGGGTTCAGTCGAGTCATAGCGCGAATTACGGGCGATTCAAACGCACTTACGGCAGGTACTTTGCCAATTGGAGGAATAATATGGGCATACAAACGTCCCAGAATGCTCGATTCTATGCTTTGTCCAGAAAGTTGGATACAGTATTTGATAGTAGGAACAAGACGTTCGTTCTGCAATACAGCGTTAAGCATGAACAGAATATCGAGTGCGGAGGTGCATATATAAAAGTGCTATCGGCTGAAACTGACTTGAACGATTTTAACGGATTAACTCCCTATTACGTAATGTTTGGTCCGGATATTTGTGGCTATGAGCGAAAGGTTCACGTTATTTTTGGCTACAAGGGCAAGAATTTAGAGTTGGACAGGGAACTACATTTTGAGCCTGACAACTTAACGCACGTCTATACCTTAATGCTTTTCCCGAATATGACCTACAAAGTGTCA